TGATTTATATAATTTTTTTACAAACAATATGAAGTATATAATTAACACAAACAACATTAGTTAAAACAAAAATCATAATCGATCAACATGCAATCTTAATATTGGAGCACTATATTTTTAGTATAAGCCCAATACATTCGTGTTATAATTTATTTAATCTTGAATTGTTTTATACCTATTAGTGTTTTATACAAATCTACTGATACCCCAAAAATAGAATTTTGTTTTATTATGTAGAATAGGATTAGAGATGCAAACTTCTATTCTTATTTTATTCTAATACCAGGGATATTAGTTTGACTTAAGTAATGCTAATTCAAAGATTCATAATATGTATTATACTAGAACTTTCTAGAAAAAAAAGTTGACAGATTAACTATTTATTTGATTTTTTCTTTATACATATTACTTTCCTTGAGCTACTCAATCTACTGGCAATTCTCAAGTTTATTAGCATTTAGATAATACTATTCTTGAGCATATTTCATTAATATACCATCTGGTTGATAAAGCTATTTCCTTACTGCATGCTAAATTATTTTAGCTAAATTTATTTATTTTTTCATAAACAATATGCTTGCTAGATGATAATATCTGGTCGATTTTTTATATACAAAGTTTTAAAATATACTACTTGGGTTTTAAATTCTTTAAATTCAGAGTTATTGGCTATATATTCTCTTCTAGTTAAATTATTTTTAATACGGAATACAAAGTTTCTTCAATAGTTCTTACCTTTTATTTCATATCTTAGTATAAATAAATATCTATGTATATATTCAGGCAGATAATACTTTGCAAATCGTAGCCAAGCTTCTGGTGTTTTTAAATTACTAATATAGTTTAAGCTATATTTAGATAACATGTATTGGGTATAACTATTTTTTTCCATTCCTCAAAAATATCTTGAATATTGAGCAGGTTGTATAAATGTATTATATATCAAACGTATTGGTTTACTTAACTAATACTTTTTATTTTTATTTAGAATTTTTGCATGATATCTTAATTTTATATCAAGTTTTCTAACTTGAAATATTTTGCAAATATTTTTTATTTTAAAGAAAAAAATAATATACTGTAACAATCAATAAGTTACAAGTTTTGTATACCAATTTCGGACATAGTAGCAATCAAATTCAGATATTCTAGCAATCAAATTTGGACATCTTAGCAATCAAATTCGGACAGCGGTATCTTGTGATCTAGTGAACAAATTCACATAATTTTGGTACCATTCGACTCTTCTTGACAAGATGAGTCGAATGGTACCAAAATTGCATAATTCAATGGGGTATGCGATAAACTATATAAATCAAAACTATGTATAGTATTATATAAAAATTTAATATCAAAGATTTTATTAATTTTTCATGTAACAATTGATATGTACTGCTAGTAATTTAAGCCGTAAGGTTTTAGTCGGCTGGCTTAGCCAGCTGACCAAATTATTGGCTAAGCGGCTGGCTAATGGCTAAGTGCCAATAGCCTACTTTCGAAATATTTTCAGAATCACTATGGCTGTTTTTTTAATATTACATTACTAAAATTGGTCTATTCTACGTATTTAAATTAATTCTATAAAAATATTTAACATTAATTTATTTTTACTACATATACTTAGCAAATTTAAAATTCTAAAAATCCCAATGATTTATCATAATTATCCAGAATTCTACTGGCTTTAATAAAATGTAAAATTTATCCTTCAAATTTTTAACAAATTAAAATTCTCGATAAAGGACCAAATTTTATACTTGGTGTCTAAATTATGAATGATTTATGGCAGACGGCATGGTGTAATTTTTTGATATTTTCGCATGGTATTTCAAAATGTTAATTTTTTTTTTTTGGTTGTCGATATTATTATAGACTATCTATATTATTATAGGCCGTCGATATTATTATAGAGGCATTCAACGGAACTAATCCTTTAACATTACAGCTATTTTCATTAATTTTGGGACATCTGATAAAAAATTGACCGAATGATTGTTTGGCCGATTCGATAAGTTTTTGATTTCGTGCTTCAGATTATACTAGATTCAGATGCTATTACTTCGAATAAGTTAGATATTTCAAATTAAATAGCAATTATTTCAGATAAACTAGGCATTTTTAAAATGCTTACTATAGACAAACAAGCTAATGGTTTAGATCAACCGTTTCAATATTTTTCATCTGATTCATACTGATTTACTTTTTGGTCTATATTTTACATAAATAAATAAAATAATTTATAGATTTTTACTATGATTAAAATTTTCAATATAGCTTTGACAAATATTAATAAAAACTTAGTTGTTTGGAATTATAACTTGAGTTATATTTTGCCAAATTTGTTGCTTGACAAGAACAAACTTCGGCATAAATTTTCGTACAGACTAAATACACCAAACATACATTCAAGCAAAAATTAATTTTGGATATGTTGACATTATAGTATCATTCAGAATACAATACCGTAAAAAATATGTATCATTATTGCTATATTACTGACCACGTCTATATCAAAAGTTTATCATTGCCAAAACAAAAACTTATCGAATCGGCCAAATAATCATTCGGTCAATTTTTTACCAGATGTCCCAAAAATAATGAGAACAGCTATAATATAAATACAATAATTATGGAGCAATAAACTTGGCTAAAATTAAAGATTTTTAAAGATCACATCTTGCAATTAATTGTCACCAAGTGAAGCTGGGAAACCTAAATATAAATTATTAATTATTAATAAAATCTATATTCAAGCTTCCTGGTTTTCACTTACAGCTGTTTTCATAAATTCTAGAACATCTGGCAAAAAATTGATTGCTGAATATTTGCCGATTCGATTTTGGTAATGATAACAGCCGAATAAAAACTTATCGAATCGGCAAATATTCGGTCAGTTAATTTTTTGCCAGATGTCTCCGAATTTATGAAAACAGCTGTAATGGCATTCAATTATTCTGTTCACAGGCATAAAGTAAATTCAGCACAGATTCTTTACCAAATTTTATATACACTAATATAAAAACTATAGGTTAAATATACATATGTGCTTAAATCATCCATCTTAATAAAAATTATTATAGCACTTAGCTGAAATTAGTCTTTCATAATTGCCGAATTACTTTTCATACTTGCCGAAATTATTTGGCTCTTTCACCAAAATACAATCAATTCCGGAATATCTACTAAAATGTTTTTTTTTCCAGATATATTTAGACACATATCTATAAGGCTAAGGTTAATACAATACGAACTCATGAATAATAATAAATGGATACGTATACATGCATGCATACAAAAATGCATGCACTGCTATTGTTTGAATTCGATGCTATTGTTGGTAGAATATAGACTAGCTTTTCTTGTTCATTTAGCAGATGCATACAATACGCACAATTGTTATTCTTCGGCGAAGGTTAATTAGATTTCAAGAAAATAACCTTCATACTAGATGCAACATCAGTTCATAACCAAACTGATATTATGCATATAATTCTCTAAAAGAATAACAATTGTATGCATAATTCTATTGTTGAAATTTTATTCTAAATCAAATTTAATAACGAAATTACTTTCATTCATTAAAAAAAAAGAAAGAAGTAATGCAATATAAACAGCAAAAACTATATATAAATAAATAAAAAAAGACCTTAAAACTTCAATATACTTACTGTTCAAATAGAAATCGCACTAGTAAATGTCAACACACGATTCTCATCAGCTTAGTTCCTACAATAGTGATACTTTAAGTTGGCTTAATGAAGATGAAGATGAATTAGATGAATCAAATGAGTTAAACGATTTAAATACATCAAATATATCAGAAAATGTACATAATCTAGATGCTGAATCAGGTTCGAGTTCTCCCGATCAACCTCTGTCACATAATAGTGGCGTTACTGTTACTGTTGCTAATAGTTTAGGTAAAAGAGTTCGAAAAAAAAGAACTTTTACCTATTCCAAAAGACCGAATCCAAGAGAAAGTTGGGTGTGGACTTATTTTAGGAAAAATAAAGTTGAAAAAAAAATATATTGCAAAGTTATAGTCAAAGATAAAGATGGTTTAGAAAAAGAATGTGGTAATGACTACGAATTATCAACTGGAACAGGCAATTTAAAATCTCACCTTTGTCAAATTCACAGAATTTTGCCACCTGAAGAAAATAATAATCAGAATCAGTTAACCAAAATAGCTTCTAACCAACCATCATTACATGATTTTATAAATAAAAAAACACCCTTACCTACTTCAAAGCAAGATAAAATCACAAATCTTATTTTAGCCTGGATCGTTGATGATCTTCAACCATTTAACGCTACTACTAATAATTGTTTTCACGATATAATTCTTGAATGTGAACCGAGGTTTGAGTTTCCCTGCTACGATAAATTAAAAGAAAAATTAATGCAGTCTGTGCTTTTTGCTAAACAACAGCTTAAAAAACTACTACAAACAACAATGAATTCTTTTTGTTTTACAACAGACCTCTGGTCTCAAATACACCAACCTTATATTGCTATAACTATTCATTAGATTAGTCCTGAATTTAATTTATACCAAGCATTACTTACAATTCAAAAATTTGATTATCCTCATACTGGTGATCGAATTGAAGATTTTTGTCGCCAACTTTTTGACCAATGGGGAATATATGAAAAACTTTTAGGTGCTTCAACGGATAATGCCTCTTCAATGATTAAAGCCATGGATCAACTTGGTGTTGAGCATATAGGTAAAACCATCTTACAAGAATAATCGCTGTTTTTGAATTAGTGCGATCATTGAATTTTGTGAATCTCACGAATCCCACATATCACTATTGCTAAAGCAATGGCGATATGCAGGATTCGTGAGATTTACAAAATTCAATGATCGCACTAATTCAAAAACAGCGATTATTCTTAATATAAATTCCAGTAAAACAGATCTCAACCTTTGTGCAAAATTTAATTCTTATCTAGGTTGCACTGCGCACACAATACAACTTGCATTAGGAGATAGATTTGATATTACGGAAGTTAGTAACTTAATAAATAAAGCAAAAACATTAAATAGTTATGTCAGTGGTAAAGATAAATACTGTGAAAGCCTTCGTGAATTACAAGCTGAATTAAATCCGCAACACCAAGTTAATCCTCTTTCAAGTGATACAAGAACTCGGTGGAGTTCAACTTATAACCTTTTAAAAAATCTTTTTCTTCTTCGTAATGCTATCATAAGATTGGCTAATAACTTAAAACAAAGCGTTAACAGACAAGAACGACAAGATGGAACAAAACTTTCAGATCTTCTCCTATCAATAGAAGAATGGAATTCAATAGATGAGTTAGCAAAACTCTTATATCCTTTCGCGCAGGCAACTGGATATATTGGAGGAAGCCAATATCCCACTTTGGGAATGATGATTCCTACTCTTATTAAGCTCTCACGTCATTTAAGAGAATTTTATCCCACAATCACTTCACAAACAGTAAAAGCCTGTTGCAATAAAATCAACCAATCGATGCTGTCAAGGTGGTCTGAGCCATCGTCTCATAGTCTAATAGCTGCTTTTTTGGATCCAAGATTCAAACAAATGAATTTTGTAACGGCCAGTAAAAAAAGAGAAACCATTTCTCACCTTTATTCTTTATTTGATACACAAGAACGATCTACTTTTATTCAAGAATCCCAACCTTTAAATACTAATTCCTCTTCTTTTTTTTCTTCTTTTTACGACGATGATTACATTATTCCAAATGAAACTAAAAATGTATCATTAATTGAAAAAGAAGTAGCACTTTATGATAGTTTACCTCAAATTTCTAAATATCATATAACGGATGAAGAATATTGTAAAGTTAATCCGTTAATTTGGTGGAATGAACGCAAAGCAATGCTTCCTCTTCTTTCTCAACAAGCAAGAAAATACTTAGCCTTTCCAGCCACATCGGTTCCTTCAGAAAGAGTTTTTTCAACTGCTGGCAATACAATTACCAATAAGTGAAATCAATTAGATCCTGATACAGTTCATGATTTATTGGTTCTTAAAGAAAATTCAAAGAACTTTACCGTATACCCAAGTTTAGGTAGGAAATTTTGTTATTTTCATGGCATAATACAAGTATTTCTACTAATAGAAAAATTTTATATAATTAGTTTGATGAGAAAATAGAAGGCATTGTTAAATAAATATCGTGTAATTTTTTCCAAGTAGATATAGATGCGATAAATATAAATATACATAGTCAACTCTTTCTAAACTGAAACTCTAAACGAAACAAAAAATTTTAGAACATTGTAATTTTTATTAGTAAGTTCAGATTTGAGATATAATTCTTTAAGAACTGAACATTTAAAAATTTTTACATATACCTTAAAGAACTTTCTAGTCAGAATAAAAAGAGTTGACTATTATACTGCATAAGTATATAAGAACTTTAAATATATTAAAATATATTAAATATATTTTTTATGCCGTCAGGAATATAAGAAACTCAACTTTTGATAGTAAGCACAGTTGTTTTAGATTAGTACTTCGTAGTTTCTTGAACTGTAGGAGAAATTTCAAAGATCTTAGTTTTAATCAAATCTTGAAGCTACATATAAAATAAAAGAACAGTAAAGTACTTAACCGTAACTCTAATATTATAACTCCGCGCAAGTTAACGTTAATTCGCTTATGATTATTAAGCCAACTTAGCCGTGGCTATCAGCCGTATTAGCCAGCCGATCATATTGTTTAAGCTGGCTTAGCCGGCTATGCCAGCTTAGCCGTGGCTATCTCGCTGCATTAGCTAGCTGAAAGTTTTATATTGGCTGGCTTAGCTAGCTAAGCCAGCTTAGCCATGGCTAATCATGTGATCTTTAGCCGCATTAGCCAGCCGATCATATTACATTGGCTGGCTTAGCCGGCTAAGTCAGCTTAGCCGTGGCTGCCATAGCCGGCTTAAAACACTATGTACTGCACAAATTATTATTATTATTATATTATTACGTACGTACTATAATTATTATACATCTAATTATTGTATGACATTTATTTATTAATTAATTTTATATGCAATACATATTTTAATTATAGTAAATTATTAAAAAGACTTGAAGCGACATTAGGTCCAAATTGATATTTTTATTTCTTGAAGTAGAATATTCTTTCGATTCACCTTTATTTCTTTTAATCCCTCTGATAAATTTTTTTTTTCAATTTTACCTAAGCATAACTGAAGTTTCGACTGTTTAACTGATAGTGACATATTTTTGTAGGTTTTTAGGTCTAACTTGTTAAAAAGACCCTTCACTTGTTGTTGATAAACAATGATAAAATAAATTCTAGTTTTAATGAAATTATACAATTTGGGAAAATTATAGACTGGTAATTCTTCATTTGCACAGAATTGTTCAAATTCTCTAAAAAAATCATTATTTTGCAATAGCAATTTACATAGACCAAAGGTATCAGTTATTCCATTTTTTAAGTCATTCTTCAATTCTTCTGCAAATTGCAACTCTAAATCATTTGGTGGTTCAATCCAAGGTTTTTCTAAAACTGCATAGTAAAAACTACATGCAAATGATCCAGCAATATTACCTCCAAGGTGACAAATAACCAAAGGTAAATGAAGCTATTGTAAGAACTACTTTTCAAAATGTTTCAAAGCTTTGATGATTCCTTTTTCTAAATTATCAAAAAATATTCCAAATTCTTCACTTGTAAAATTGTCTAATACTTCTAATAGCTTATCAGAAAAGAACATTTTAAAATTTTTAGTAAGATCTTCAAGAAACTTATTCCACTTATAAACTTTATCGGGCATCTCATAAGCACGCTAACAAGGAGGTAAAATGTTTAGTTGATTATTTTGATAAATTCTAGGAATTTTATCTTGTCCAATTAAGAAATACATCAATGGTTTATAAAAATGTTCAGCAAAATTTACCAAACATTTAATTTGAATGTTTAACTTAGGATCAAGAAACCATGACTGAAAAAGATACCAATCACTTAAATATGATTTTGGTGTTTTTTTTTTTCTATTTCATTAATAAACCAACAAGTAAATTCGATGTGTGCTAAATGTTGATCAAGGAATTGTTTTGCTGTTTGCAACTCATAACCTCATCATGATCAAAGTGGTAATTAGTATTGATTATAGTGATATCCTAGTAATCCATTATACAATTTCTTAATTATTTGTGAATTAATATTGAGTGGCTTATCTTTATCACTTGAATCATAGCTATCATGTAGCTTTTATGCAAGATAAAATAAATTATAAATATGTGGCTTTTTTGAAAATCTCGTAGTATTTGAAAGTATACCAAAAGCCTTTTGCTCAAAATGGTTCATTATGATTTGAATTATGTGGAGACCACAACCAATTCGTAATGAGTTTCTATTTGTTTTATTATTAAAAAGAACTATAGCTCCTTTTTTTTCACCTAATATATATAAGGTATTGTCTGTTACCCATAATCTACATTTTTTAATATCTAATCTACTTCTTTGAATATGTGTAATTACTGTATCTGACACAACTTCAGCATTATATTTTGTAATATTTTGTAACTGAGTAATCATCACAATAGGCAATTGATTTTTATTACCCCAGAATTGATAACAGAATATTAAGTTCTTGGTTTGTCCCATGTTGACTTATCTATCATTACTCCAAACACAGGTGCATTCATTGCTTAAAGAATTTGTATATTAAAATTTAACTCTGAAATATCTTGGTGCCATGTATGTAGGGTAGCTGTTGATAACATCTTTTGAGGCAGTTCTTCAGTTAGAAATCCATAAATTAATTGTATACATTCAATAGTAGAATGTAAAGATATTTGGCCAACTTGTAGAATATTTGTTGCAAGCCATATTGTATTTGAAGTATAAGATTTTTTATTTAATATAAAAATCAATTTGACTTTTTTGCGAAATTCTTCATCAGTGATTTTTTTTTGAAACTAAAAAACATATTTTTGAAATATGCTTCGATTTTTAATCCTGAAGGTGCTGAGATTTGGCACCAAGAGATTGGGTTCGTCTAATAAGAGCCTTATTCTGCTGATTAAGTTTTTTATTTTATTTTTTCTAATGTTATATTTGACTCTTTTAAAGATTGATGACTTGTATTATGCTTATAAAAATTTTGTGTAAGATAATCATACATTTTATGTTGTAAATATAGTGAAATTATGTTTCCCACACTTGGGCCTTTTGGATATCGCATAATTGAAACAAGATTGATTGCTGGTAATAGATCCTTTTCAGGTAATTCTTGTATGATTGAAGTTAAATGAGTTCACTGTAAATGTTCTTTATGTACAGTTATTGCTTTATCAATTGAAATCTCGTCATTGGTGGTGAATACTTTATTGATGGAAAGTTCATTGTTAGATGCTTCATTGGTTGATACATCATTAACAGATGCAGATTGTTCTTTTAATACTTTATTTCTTTGATGTTTTTCAAGACGTATTCTATTGGCATTTTTTAATTGATATTGACATTTATTTGATCTGTAAATACCCATTGTAGATTATGAAATATTTAAAAAGATGTACAGCCCTTGATACCGGTTATTCTAAACCCAAATTTTGCACAAATCAAGGTTAAGTCTCAAAGAATAAAGTTACGAGGCCAAATAAGTCTTTCTATTAAAAAAAAAAAAAAGACAATTACCTAAAGAACTTTTTAAGCGAACGAAGTAAAGACTGTATGTAAAAAAGACCGGAAAAATGGAATTCTTGTAGGAAATGTAAAAACAAGCTTCGTAACTTTGTAAATGTGATAACATTGAACAAATTGACATGAAAAATTTTTGATTAAAAAAAAAGATGCGACCTGCACATCTAAAAAAGTGGAACACAGTTTTATATGTAAAATCGATTACATCAATGATCACTAAAAAAATCAGTTCTCATTAAAATTTCTAAGGACCACATATCGATATAGTTTTGATTTACATTGTATATATATCGCACACCCCAATGATTCAAGCCACTAGATCACGAGATATTACTGTTCGGATTTGATTGCTAAGACGTCCAAATTTGATTGCTAGAATGTCTGAATTTGATTGCTACTATGTCTGAATTTGATTGCTATAATGTCCGAATTTGATTGTTATAATGTCCAAATTTGATTGCTTAGGTGTCTGAAATTGGTATACAAAACCTGTATTATACTAATTAGTTAAAAATTCATTAATATATAGATTTTACACAATCTGGATCCAAAAATTAGAAATTTTATATATTCGCGTAAAATAGATGCGAAGACAAGAAATATTGTACATTTAATTCCTGACATTATTCGTTGGATGGCTCCTGAACAGATAAAGAAATATAAGGATTAAAGATACTGTGAAAAAATATATACGTTTAATTGTGAAATGTTCGGGTATTTTATTATTTAATCTCTATAGTTTTTTAGAATCGTAATACTCTATAATTTACTCTATCCGTTATTATTTATTATCAGCTTTGGAATGCTTATTTGGGAACTTTATTATGAAAAATTACCTTATGAAAATTGGGATATTCCAAAAATATCAGATCTTGTTTTAAATCGTAAAAGAGAAGAGCTTTTTAACAGGAGAATTTGATGATCCCAATGATAAGAAAATTCAAGAAGAATTTATTAAAATTATTGAAAGCAGTAAGTTTAAATTAAATTTATTTGAAAGAAAATATTTATTTATAGTGGTTACGTACGTATGTAGTATACAGCATTATCCTAAATCATGCAGGTGCAGTTTTCAGCCTACAAACATATTTACATGTTGAATCAATGAATATCGGGTGTATACCGGGAGACAAGTTTTCTGTTATGTACTGCCAAATACGTATACAATATTGGGCAGACGATGAAAAAATTTCCTCTTATTTGTCGTATGCCCAGTATTGATGTTATCCGGTTTCAATAACATCTACTTATATACTAGATCTTGTAATTGTCTGTTCAGAGCAGCAGTAAGTTTAATTTTTTTCACATAAATTTTCTCGGACTTTAAGCAACTTATCTTAGTAGTATTCTGTTTATTTTCATTATTCGAAGTTATTTCAAATTAAAATAAACAGAATACTGCTAAGATAAGTCGCTTAAAGTCTAAGAAAATTAATGTGAAAAAAATTAAATTTAGAACAAGATCTAGCATATAAATATATGTTATAATAAATAATTGAAATGCAACCAGAAATGATTGGGATTGTTATTTTTTAGCTGATGTTTATAATTTAAAAGAATTTCGAAAATTGCTATATTTCAATATAATCAGATTTATTAAAATAAATTTGATTTAATTATTTAAATAAACTTCTATTTTAAATTTTATTAAAATAAATTTGATTTAATTATTTAAATAAACTTCTATTTTAAATTTTATTAAAATAAATTTGATTTAAATTTATTTAAATAAACTTCTATATTAAATTTTATTTAAACTATTTATAAATTTTGAACCTAAAAATTTGGGTTGTTCTCCGAAATCTCTAGCCTTGTCTTAATAATCACTGGACTGATTTCTGAGGATGACGTATTTTCGAAAAAATTTGTGGTTCTTAAGATGAAACTGAAGGAATCTTGGAAAGTAACAAATTTTTGATTTGTCTCAAATTTGAGAACAATTGTAAGTTTCGAAATACTAATCTATATAATTTCGAATTTACCCAAATTATATTTAGGCTTCATATTAAATCATTTGTATAGTATTTTCAAAGAAATTTTTAGAAAATTTGATGGTTTCATAATAAAATAATTGTTTGGACACCAAATAGCCCATTTTTTTTAGCTTAACCTGTCATATATTTAGAAATAAATATTATCAATGCTAACTGTCCAGTAACGATTTAACAAAAATTTTCTTTATTACCTGTTGCTACTCCGTCTTTTTTTCTGTCCAAATAAATTTAATGTTTTCATCCACAATTGCAACATCTGTTTCTGTTTCTGTCTGACTTTCAGCATGCACATATATTGGATTCGATTTCCATACTTCAGATTCTGCAACCCATGTTGTAGTAATTGTTGGTTCATTATAAAAACATATATATCTCATTCTTAATTTATCCTTAAGCTTAGAATCAATCACACTACGTCCTGAAGTGAAAAAAGAATTTTCAAGAAGCGCATAATAAGAAATAAAACCTCTTTGATAATTGAGTACTGCACGTTTCCCATCTTGATCAGCATCCTCAAAAGCTGCACTTTTTTAATGAGTTTGGTCATTTGGAGGTTATTATCATTATTGATCAGAAATAACAAAATAATGCATCAAAATACTGTAATACATACCTCATAAATGAAACAATCACATTTTGTAAAATAATTACAAAAACAAAATTGCCAATCACACTAATTATAATAAGAGGCCAAAAATCCCAAGTATCTAGTGGAATTGAATCCCAATTATATGCTGCAACTATAGAACTAAAAAGGTTTGAAAATGAATTATCCGGTTCTTCTTCAGTCATAATATAGGTATCACTTCCATTAGAAAATTCATATGTTGTAGAAGATTGATTTAATCCAATATATGATGCATAACCAAGGAAAATAAATCTGTATATATTTATACATAGGTTAGCACAAATTTGCAATTTGAGAATATTTTTAATCATGTATCTACGCAAGTCATAAACTTACAATGCATGTCCCTGAGGTGTTATACAGTAACAAATTAAAAATACGTACGTAAGTATAATTCATAATATGATGAATTATGACAATTAATAAATTCAAAAATTACCATTGCAATTATGGTTAAAGCAAAAAATAGTAAAAATAATTTTAGATAAGCCATAATATTGTAAAGTATGTTCAGGTAATGTGCAAAACCTAAGTAATATGTAAAGTAATATGTAAAGTAATATGTAAAGTTACATGTTATATAAGCTTGATAAACTTATACAAATATTAGGATATATTGTACAGTACCTGGAAAAATACGTAATTGTAGAATCTAAATAATATTGAGAAAAAAAAAGGAAAGATAATAATGAAAAAATTTTTGTATGCATAAATGACAAAAAAATGATAGTTTATAAAATGTTACAGAAATAAAAGATATACTTACAAGTTGATACCAAATACCTAAAATACTTATGAAAACAATAAATGACCCAAGCAGGCTGGTTTCGGCATTTTTAAATCCATTCTCAAACGTATAATAATTATTAGTCAAAATATAAATAGAAATAGTAAGTGGCAAAATAAGAGTAAAAAAGTCTACATAATTAAAAGGATCAGCAAAATATTTCCATCCTTTATAAAGTAATTGGTTAAATTCAATCACAATTTGATAATAAGTTAAATAAAAAAATAATACTATGACTACAATCACTAGAACATGTTGAAATATGCTATTAACTTCAAAGTGTGCGATATACATCCAAGAAATAATCGAATAAGTTAAAAAATACATCAAAAAAACATATAAGGTTTTGTGAAGATGAGATTTGAACAAATACCACATCACATTCATGGTGGCTTCCATGGATGGGTTATAGAAGAAAGGATCATTATTTTCAAGTTTTTCTATAAGCTTAAGAAAAGGGCTATAGTAATCTTTTTGTGCATATTTGCCCGGATAAAATATGGACTTTAAAAAGTTTATTAATTTATTTTCTTTTATGTCTCTTAATGACTTCTTATTTTCTCTAATTGCTGTGAAATCAACTAAAGGCACCATCAGAACTTTAGGAATCATATATTGGCTATATTTAAAATTAAAATGAATCAACAATAAATAAATAAAAACAATTTATAATATTTCATGTACTTTACCTGAGCACTTTTACTTCTAAATCAGAGTCTTGTGGAATCAATTGTGTTATAGGTATAAAGACTTTCAAAGAATTATCCATACTAGGTGGAATTTCAATAAACTCAAAAGAAGGTATATCCAATTCTTTTTTACAAAAACAAGATTTATAAAATAACAATTGAGCGTATGACTTATAAACCTCTGCATCAAAAAAGATATAGGTTTTAGATCATTAATTTTTAGATTAAATATAAGATAAACTTTACAACTGACCAGCATTTTTTTTAGTCTCCTCACTATATAATTTCGGTATAACATCAGTAACGGTAACCATCCATCCAATTTCTTTGACTGCCTTATTAGAATAATATTCTAGAAGAAATCCTAGAAATACTGGATCATCGACTAATGAGAAGAATGATATTAACATATAACAAGTAAAAAAATGTATTTACAATTGATTGATTTAATTTAAATATCAAACCTGATAATGCTTCTAAGAGTGCATATTCAAGTTTACCTGTCCATGAAGTTAATTTTGGCATGTGAAGTGATTTCTCATGTAATAAACTATTCCGATCAGAAGATGGTTCTTTGATTTGCATTTCAGATTCTGCTATATTAAGATTTTCAAGGATGTTATTTTCAGGTTTATCGTCCGAATCTTCTTTTTTTTCATCGAATAATATATATTTAACAAGTGAATAATCTCCCGCAATAATAAGAGTGGTCATTAAATTAAAGCGAAAATCTAGTAGTCGCCAAATAATCGGATATAACCGAATAAATCTCACAATAATGTTTCGTGTTTGTCTGACTATCTCTTCGAGTTGGACAAATGACACGGCATATCCATAATTAGGCGTTTCACTCCATTTATTTAAATATATAAGCGCATTACAAGCTTCTTTTATTGTTTTGATTATATCATCATCTTCATTATCTCCCATTTCAATTTGATAAATTGAATTATCAGAAACTTCACGTTGAATTGAAATTTTGAATTTTCTAATGCCATATTTAATTTCTTTGACCTCACTCGCAGTAATCTCATCATTACTCACACTAATGAATTCAAGAGTTCTCTTTTCACCTTTATCGCGCCAAACTTGAATCGTACATCTTCCAATCAGAAGCATAACTTCTTTTTTTTCATCAAGATAAACTGAATATCGTGGACCTCCACTATGTCCAGTTCGCCCTCGCCATGGTTCAATTACGTGATAGTTTTTGTTTAATTCTAACTTTTTATTATCAAAATCCCAGATAAAATATTCAAATTTGTCATCTGATTTCTTCCAGGTTTCTTCCAGTGTTAGATCCTTAAAACCAAATTTGTCAACATTCTTCAAGAGTTTCAAAAATTTATCCGAGAGTAGATCATCATAAATTACAAGTTCATTGTTCTTAATAGTGATTATAAAAGAATTTGATTTCTTCAATTTCTCAGTATGAGAATAGTCAACTTGAAGGTTAAAATCAAAATCAGGTCGTTTTTCGAGTTTAATTGATTTTTGTAATGAACCAAAAATATCCCAAATAGACCATTCCATTGTATTAATCCGATATACCAATAATCTCTCGTCATCACTAAAAAAATTTAAGAAATAATAATCATAAGATATTTCATCAGTTTCATCTATTTTTATAGACGCTACTTCAAGACCACAATCAAGCGAGTATAATTTGATCCGCCTTCCAGATTTAAATTTATATGCTAACAATTTATCATTATTTGATATTACAAAAAATCCAGGACGGTAGGTGAGACCTGAACCGCATACATTCTTTCTCGAAAAGGTATTTACTAATTGATTTGTTTTTAAATCGTAAAGATCCATGTATTGAGCACCATCTAGCATAGTATCGGCTAAAAAATAATGCTTATTTAAAGATGCCTGAATATATTCCATATTTAACCTTCTGATTTTTTCGTGTTTATCGTGTTCTGAAAGTTTCAAAATTTTTGAAAGATTATAATAATAAGTATTATAATAATTCATGACTTTATTTGTTCTATTCGGATATCTTAACATTTGAATTTTGATAGTGGGTTTATTTTTATTCAAGTGTTCAAAATAAAATTTATAGATTCCAGTGATATTTAAAATAATAAGAAGACATTTATCCGCACTATGGGTATCATCATAATTGAAAAATAAGTTAACTATTCCACCATACCGATAGTTATCAAATTGTGATATTTTATCAATTGAATGTTCTTTGATAGCGAAAACGATGGTAAATCCAGGAAGATTTCTGCTAAGACCATAGCTAGGGTCTTCATCGCTAGGGTCTTCATTGTAAAAGTCTTTATGGGTAGATTTTTCAATGTTCTCAAGTGTCATATCATGATGGCTTATACAAGATATTGCCAGTAGTCTAAAGTTTGTTACACTAGATGATTTATCTGATACAGCAACGGACCAGCTCAATCTGTGTCTAGATTTAACCAACTTTAATTGTTCTTTTGTAAATTCCGATGTTTGAGATGTGTGAACACTGGAAAGTTTACTGTACGACAATCTATTGCTATATTCTATATCAAAGTGGTCATCTTTCTCTTTCTCGATGTTATACATACGAAGTTTGAACCATGATTCGTTTTTTAATAGTACTGTTAATCAAATAAATTTATTGAGTTTAAATTATATGAATCATATAAATTAATGTAGTAATTGTTTAGTAAAAAGTTTTACCAAATTCGACTACGAAATCACCGTCTGGACTAATAGCCAAATATTTCTCTTTTATTTCTGATTCTTTTTCAATTATAACAACAGCTTCCTCCGACATTGTTCTTGTTGTTCAATGGTCAATAAAAATTAAAATATGTAAAAATAAATGGAATTGTTGCTATATTTAAACGTTTATATGTGGCTTAAAAAATTTAAAGCCGCTTTTCCTATTCTCAAAATCTTCGTCATCTTCACAAATATTTATAACAACTATTTCAATTAAGCTTTCTGTTTTTGTTTTTTCATTAAAATTATCGCTCAGACCTATAAATAATGTCACTAGAGATGGGCAAGGTAATCACTTATTGCGTAAAAAGTCATTTCACATAACGTGTCGATTTAGCATGTTATTAATTGCAAGTATATATCATTGGAGAATCGTCGCATTATGTGATGTGACTTTTTACGTAATAAGTAATTACCTTGCCCATCTCTAAATGTCACGGCTGATATTGATTTTGGCTGATACTGATTCTTGGGATCTAGATTTGGAAATATAAACCCTGCTAAAATAGATTTATTAACATCCCTAACCCTAAAAACCTAATCTATGACGGAAAAACTGAAAAAAACGCATCCCAAAAAATTTCAAAGATTGCATATGAAAATAGACCCAAAATCAACATCGGCCGTGACAAATAATGACTCAGGTCAATAAAATTCAGGTTACATTGACTGAGGCATAATCCGGATCAAACAAGTATCGATAGATTAGATTTATTTTTTTTTACCATTAAATACCAGTCGTGCTTTGTGAATAACGATAAGGCTGAGAACCCCAAATTAATCAGCCTTAAAACGAAAAACTAGGTTTATAAATTTTGCTCTTAGTTCAAAGAAGGCTTTTAATTATATGTTAGTTTTCTGAATGAACCAGGTTAACCGAGCCTTTCATAATCTACTGTGCGATTGGTCGATTACGAGAAATAAACAACTCTATATATTTTATTGTCAGGAAATCACTAGGCTCTTAAACTTCAAATACAATCATTAATACGAAGCAAACTCGGTAAGACGAAGTATTAGTATGCAAAACAATGATTAAAAATTCGATATTTGATAAAATTGAATTTTTACTAATATTTTTTGGAATATTCAACTTATCAGTTTACTCTCATACTGCATATTTTTCCCACCTAATTGTTTCGTTTTTACTATCTTTGATTGAACAATAAAAACTCAGAATTGTAACACCACATAATAAATAAAGTTAAATACTTGTTTGGAGGAGATAAATGAATTGATAAACTCGTTATGGTGCTTAGAGAATCTTACTTTCTCGATCCTAGATCACAAAATTACTTACTAAATGATTTTTTCATATTTAAATTTCGTATATGAATCTTTTATATAATCTCACATAATTACTACAGTCAGATCCTCTAAGTGCACCCTCTATAAGTGCACACCTCTCTAAATGCACGCTCAAGTGCCGGCCCAAATATATACTTGACCTCCATAAATGTACCTTTTCTTATTATTCTCTATATGCACGTTATTAAAGTGTGGTCCCAAGTGCGTGCACTTAGAGAGGTCTGACTGTATTGATTTTTTCCAAACTAGTTTTTTTTTTTTGTAAATAAGTCAGTTTAAGTTTAGCTCGCACGCAGTAATCATTGAAATCTATTCCTTAACAGCTAATGAGATATAGTTATATCTATCGTACAAGACATTTATTTTGAAAAAGTCTTTAGAAAAATTTATAGTTATGGGTTATAAATGTACTCTAAATTCAATTGTACAAATTTGAGATTAATCATGAGAAAATTAGACTATATCCAAAAAGCCTAGACCGCGAAGAACAGTCAAATATAGTCACAACGGCAAATTTAGCTCCTATGGTATACAAGTTATACAGAAATCAAGAGATGTGTAGAGATAATAATGTAAGGGAAAATAATGGATATTAGAATAAGTATAGGTTGAAAGTTCAAGTTAAATAATGATACAGTAACATATTCTCTAAATAATCAATTTCAAAAAAATTAACACAATGCAAAACGAATGACTTTGTTTATTGAAAGCGAATTAGAATAACAGAAAGTGGAGATTCTGCCCTATAATTCTCGCTTTTGGAAAGGTATAAACTACACACGGTCTGCCATCTTTGGTGTGCGTGGCTGTACCACAGATCCACTTGCAACCCACTTATACGCCTTACCAGACCAAGTTTTGAGTCTTAAATTTAACTAACGCTAAGCCCAAGTTTTTTTTAATTAATAAACAATTTAAGAAATAAACAATAAACATACATACACGAAAAAGTCAAACAAATAAATAATACCGTTGTTTCGCTATGGAGAATACCGGGTCTCTTACAAGCTACACCTGTTTTTGATTTATACTACATGGAGATCTTGTGTAGAGGGCATATATATGTTGTTTTAAATGACATCGTTATTTATGATAAAATAAATATCATTTAATGTTAACATTGCTATATACAAAAACGAAAGAGTTTAAATATATATATATTTCAAAAAAATTTTTTTTAATATACAGGATCTTGTACAAACATGCAAGTAATAAAAACTGGTAATATACCCAAGTTCTCCCTGAAGTTCGAGCTGATGATCGACACTATACAAACGAACGAGTATATAAGATTGATCAAAAATAGGGAAGTTTCAAGATTCGTGCCACCCAAAAAAATTTCAAAAGTCGCGTGACCGATGATCAACGTTTTAATTGGGTGATTTGACGATAACGGAAAGAACAATTTAACTGCACACTGAATTTTTCGTGTATTGAAAGGATCTCGATATCTTCAAATATTACATTATATCGGAATTATTATTACCGGCTATTAATATTTTGTACTTTATGAAGTTAACTTTTTAATATTTTAAAAAATCGGATTTATTTCCTATAATCATAGACGCATAATGAAATTTATCAACAGTTTGAAATTTTTAAAGATAAATTGAAAAACAGTGTATACTATTGTCTATATACTAAGGCTTGATATATGATATTGCTTGTACAATTGCAATTTTCACCTTCAAGAAGTCTTTTCATTCATTCCTAAGCGTAATTAAAGGCGCACCTTTGTCGCAATGAAAGGCTCATTCTGATTGTATAAAATGTAAAAATCATAATAAGTATAAATACAAACAATCATATGAAATGACAAAGATACTAACAACTTTAATAAAAAATTTGAATAGAATTTCAAGTGTGTGTAATGGTTCCTTAGCAAAATGATCGTTCAACTTATCAAAATTAAATTACGTTTTGTACTTACAGAAAATAGAAGTGTGTTATATTAGAAGTGTGAATACATGCCGGTATGTTTTAGTGTTGAGTCTATATGTGATTGAAACAATAACATAATTACAGTAATAATATAATACTTAATATTGAAATATAAATTTTAATGCAAAGTATAAATCTTAAATTTTTATACAATTAAGAATGTGATTAAAAGTAGAATACACAATAGATAATTATTTATTTAATTAAAATAACCTATTATGTTTCAGTACTACAACCAGAAAGTATTGCTGCTACGATTTTTCCAAGTTTTCAGAACACAATTATGTCTTTCGAATTGCTTACAATTTTTTACTAATTTTCGTAATGGCTCAAAGTTTTTTTCTATACTATCAAGCCATTTGTTTGGATTTGTTATATTTTTTCAAGAATTTTTTTGGTGTCATCTAACAAATTAAAAAGCTCTTTCTTTCGGGTTTGAAACAAGATTAAATCTTGATTATTATTAGCAGCATCTGCCAAATATTGATTCGAATTAATTATAGATTCTTGTTCATAGACTTGACTATCGATTTGTGGGTGTTCATAGACTTGATTATCAATTTGTGGCATTAATTCGCAAGTATAGAAATTTAAATTTTTAAGCGCCATATGAATATTTTCAAGCAAATCAGCAAAAGCACTTTCTTCTCTAACTTCCAATAAGGGATAGTGTTCTTGACGTATTACTTTAAAATAAATAAAATAAATATAGTACTAATTTTACAGTAAGTAAATAAAACAAATAATTATTTTTTACAGTACTTTTTTAAAAAATCTGGGTTCAACAGGACCATAAGCTTGTACCAAATGTTTGCATATATAAAAGCGATTTAAAAAAAAACTATAACATAAACAGATCCAGCGAAAAGAGTCAGTAATATGAGTAGAATTAGGATTGACTACTCTAGTAGCCATTTGTTTCCATTCAAGTTGAAATTCTTCTCTCCACTTTAGCATACACTGATTATCACGTAGTAACTGTAAACAATCAATTTGACGTGGTATAACCTTTGAAACAATAATAAAAATAATTATGTCAAGTCGTGCATAATTAAAACTTGACAAAAAATCATGTTTCAAGACCCACCAATGGCTTTCAATAGCCATTGTGCTTTGTAAAATACTAAGTTTAGAATTTGATGCTTGAGCCCATAGTTTTCACATTTTTAGATGGTACCATTCTGACCATAAATATGCCCAAACATGTTTTAGATTATTTTTGTAACAATAATCTTATTGTTCCTTAATACTTTTATTTCAAATTTTATTCATATTTAGAATGCTCTATTGGTATCATTGGATATTATATAAAATAAATCTGAAACATTTGAAGAATTGTTTCATAAAGTTTTTTTGACAAAAAAATTTTTTTTTATTATTATGTAAATATCCTTCTTAACTTGTAAGATCTGCAAATACTTGATTTCGATTAACTAGACAAAGCAAATGTGTCTCATGTGAATTATAATAATTATGTGCAATGCCAGTACTTGAAAGCTTTTTCTTAATTGCATGTACTGCATGCCAATAACATAGTTGAATTTTTGCTCTAGTTCAAATTTGGTTAGCAGCTATGATTTGTTTATGAT